ATGGCCATCTCCTAATTATTTGTATGAACATGTCATTTGCATTATTTTGAGACATGGTTATGAAAAATATTATTTGCATTGAGAAAGAATGAGAACTTTTAGAGGATGTACGATTTCGATGGACTTATCGCGCGCCGCGATGGATATTATATTTCGAGGGATGTATCGTACGCCACGATGGTTACAATTATCGAGGATTGTGTCGTGCGCCGCGATAGATACATGGACAGATATGTCCCCCATGGATCCTAGACTGAGAGACGGTGGGTATGTATCACTAGGTCAAATATGCATCATTATACTTGACATTGCACTCCACATACTTATCATTAGTGAACTTGATATTGTGTTCTACTGATTTTGTGAATGCCTTTTCGTGAAACTGGTGATTGATGAATACTGAGCTTGTTGTTGAGGATATGTAATTTGTTAAAATGTTGTTATTGAGGATATAATTTGTCAAAGTTTTGTTGTTGAGGATATGTAATTTGTCTATGTGTTGTTGTTGAACTATGTGCTATGTAAACTTTGAGTTATTAGGTTGGGCTGATTTTTATGCAGGTTGTAGTTGTGGAGGTTCGGTTGGGGTGGTAGGAGTACCCATAGTCTGTTCCCTTAGCTTGTGTTTAGGGATTTACTTGTTGAGTATCGTGTGGTTTGATACTCACCCTTTGCTTCTACAATTATTTGTCGTCTCAGTGACCTTTCTTTTTCCTTAGTTATGATCTCTTTCTATTCTCAGAAAAGAAGTTTATTTGAGACTAGTGTTTTCTTTTGAATCAATTGTAATCCTTTAGAAGCTTGTACACGTCACAACTAAATTATGGGGATATTTTTGAGCTTATTATAAAATTTTCGCATTTTAATATAATAGTTTTGAATTTTAGAATGACTTGTCTTAATGGAATAAATCGAGTTCCATCACGCCTGGATCGTGACAGCTATGATAATAAAAACTTGTGGAAACAATGAAAATAAAGACCCATTAAATTTTACATTTAAGAAATTTGAAGTATTGACCTTTTAGTTTCTAACATTGTATATTTAATATAATTAAGAGTGCTAAAAGATATTTATTTTTTTACTGTTTTTAATATAACATATAATTAAGAAAAAAATTAGAGAACCCTTAAAACGAAGAAAAAAATTTGTATTTCTTGACCAAAAAATTTCCAATTATGATGAACTCTTCTTAATTTTGAAAAATTATGTCTTAATCAAAATAATATTACAATGTGATAAATTAATCTAAAATATTACAAACACAAAACAAATAAACTCACATCATCATTAAAATTAAGTATCTCGTAATCTTCACTAAAATGTAGAAAAAAAATTATTACAAAAAAAGAAAGAACAGAAAGCATTTAAATACATACCTGTGCTCCATTTAAAATTTACTGCAAAATAGAAAGAACAACAGAACTCATTACAAATGAAACAAATTTACCTACCAAACTTAAAAAAATTAGTAACATCGTCACTACAAATGTTAAAAAAAGAAGAGAAAGATATTATCGGAAATGAAAAAGAAAACAACAACAATATATATATCTTTAGACTTTATCCGTTTTGCATCTATGTATGTATATAGCTGTAGAATATGAATGATTTATAATATAATATTATATACAATACATACAACACTAGAAAACCCAAAAGTTGTACTAAATACTATATTGATACAATTAATAAATCAATTAGTAGTAAGAGACTATACATTTAAGTGTATGTCATGCATAACTCGAATGTTTAGGCTTCTCGTTGTAGTATTTTGAATTTCCAACAGACTTAATAATGTGCATTTCATAAATTTTAATACCACTTGTTTAGTACTTAATTATGATTAGTTAATGTCAAACTTGAATTGTTTCGATCTTTCTTGCAATATTTAAGTTTTTGTAATCAATAAAGGATTTAAACCTCTCTAGTAAGAGGATTGGGATGGTGGTTTAGTAATGAGATTAAGAAGATTGAAATTTGGAAGTGATTCTGAATTACTTGTGAACAAAAATGCTAATGTCTCTTGTCCTCCATATATAGAACATTTGGAATGATATTCGAAATCAAGGTCTAACATTCATATCTTCCTATTTCTTATGAGATTAATGAAGCTTATGACAAATGAGGATGGATGGAACTATATATATATAATCTGATGAGGGAGTTAGTGAGTAACCAAATTCATAATGTTGCAATACACTAATTCAAGTAAAAAAACAAAGCGACAAAAAATATCATGATATATTTTCACTCTTTACTTAATTTTTTAATTTTCAGATTTATACTCTCTCATCTTATTTATTATGATTCTTAAATTACCCTTTGTTAGTGTCATCGTTATCTGATACATTTTGTCACAGTTTTTTTTGTTTTAGGCTAAAGTCATATGCGGACACTCAAACTTGTCCCGATTATTCACTTAGACACCTCAACTAGACGTACTACCTATTGAACACCTCAACTATCCAAATTTGAACCGTAAAACCATTTTTTGCCTACATGGCAAATCGTTTGTGATTCACGCAAATGGAGCGTGTGAATTTGTTTTTCTCTCATTTTTTACCCTGCCTACATGGCACCAACGTTAACATTATACTTCAATGTTAAAGTTGAAGTGAAATCCCTAATTCTCTTCCAAAAAAAAACCTCTTCCCCAATTTCTCTTCCCAAAAATCGATTTAGAACCCTAAATCTCCAATTTTCTCTTCTACTTCTAAATCTCCAAGTTTCTCCCTTCTTCTCTATATATCCAAGTTTCTCTCTTCTTCTCTAAATCAATTCTCTTTTATCAAATATCGCAAATTTCAGTAAATATCGAGGAAGTTGATATATGCAAGTGTGGTTATTATTGTCGATTGAAAACTTCGAGGACTCCTTTGAACCCAGGTTGATTTTTGGATGCAAATCATCAAAGGTTTATTATTTTTCGAACAAAAACTGTTCTTGTTGTACTATTTGAAAAATCAATATTTTGGTATATTTATTACGCCTTACTACTGTTAAATGGTTTGAAGGAAAAATGGTGGATGTGGATATTTTAGATGGATTGATCCGTCGCTTGAAAATGTTGATGAATCATCCTCAATGAATAGACTCATAGACGGTCAAAATCCGATTGATCGACTAAAGAGAAAAGTGAAAGAGCTTGAAGAAGAAAAAAATTCTTTGAAATTTCAATTGAATGAAGGTGAAGTGAAATTGATGGTATTGAACAAGAAGCTTAAGGAAGTTAAACTCCAAAGGGATTGGGAAAATGTCAAATTTAACCGAGTTGTGATTGTTTTTCTTTGTCTACTAACTATTAAATGGTTTTTTAATATTTTTTAGTTGATAGTAGTTCAGGATTGTAGTACTTAATTGTTTAGTTTTGCAGTAGTTAGGTAGCTATTCTAGATCAATTATTGATGTTTTAATTGGTATATGTCCTTCATATTTTGTATCAAATTGGAAGTATGAGTTGAATTGATCTCTGTTGAAGTGATCACTTGCTATATGTTTTGAATTTTTTTCTGGAATTAAATTGATCAGTAGTCTAATTGACAAAAACAAAAGGCATGCATTGAAAGGTAGTGTAGTTGTTGTTCAAAAAGTAAGTTAATAACACAAATGCATGACTGAAAAATACATAACACACAGTAATGAAAATACATAACACAAATGCATTGAGAGGTAATAGAAAATCATTGTCTTACAATAGGCATAGTCTTGCTAACACAAATACAATGTTCAAAAATACATTAGACGAGTGTTCAAATAACCAAAGAGTAAATTGTTTTCAAATAGACACCCATTTAACATGGGCCAAGATAATAACAATTTCCCAAATGAACTACTTCCAGTTTTTCGTTTTAGCTTTCATTTGTTGTAACTGTGAGGTGCTGACTGCATCTTTTCCCTTCCATTTTAGGCCACAGGGTTTAAAACCAAGGTCTATATTGGTTGGTGAAACACTCTTCAATGTTGTTGGCCCATGTAGAATCTTCTCACTTGATGTACCAGGCTACAATATAAGATACAAAGTGTAAAATAAGGTTAGATTATAAGGCTATAAAATATACACTAAAACAGGTGAACATACATTAAATACTGGGCTCCAGTTGTAGGATTAGAGTAAACACCAAAACTAGTTGCAGGCCTTCTGTTTTCTCCAGTAGTAGCAGCAAATGAGGCAAAATTGTATGGTCTCTTGTGACCTGATAAAGGTGACAATTAACTAGAAGAACTATCCCTTTTTGTAACAAATGGGGTTCCTCTTGCATTAGCTTTTTTTCTTCCCAATCCTCTTCCAGTTCCAACTTGAACCCTATTTTGAGCAGGTCTTCGCACAGATATTGTGTCAGCACAAATAGAAGTTGTTTGACTTGATTGTGTAGTTGCATATGTGGTTCTGGAAGTAGAATGTGATGGACCTCCCATTGTAGACTATATAACATAAATAAGGATATATGAAAACTTGTAGAACAAACTTAAAATGCAAATGAATTTTTAAAGGATAGCAATTACCTAAACTTACTGTTGTTTGGGTAGTTCTTGGCACAGTTCTTAGCATAACACTGGTATCAAGACAAACAGAACTTTGTGTTCTAACCTGTTGAACAAAAATAAGTACATATGAATAACTGTCTAAATGAAAATTAAGGCAAATGAATATGTAAAGCAAATCTTACTCTTGTTTGAGAATAACTTTGTTGGCTGTTTCCTTGACTTGTAGGTTGAGAAGTGCTCCCCCTCCCATACTATGTCACCACAAAATAAAACATATGATTATAAACTTTAAGCAATTTACAAATGTAAATATGACTAGTATTACTTACTCTTGCACACACAACTTTGTTATGACCAGTTTTCTTGCAAATGGAACATGTCATCTTTACTCCTTTTCTGGAAATTTTTCCCCATTTTTTGGGCTCATCCTTGCTCTTTCTTCTCTTCTTGCCAGGTCTGCCTGGCATTTTTCTTGGTTTTGGAGGCTCTATTGATGGATTTGTTGTTTTAAGTCACATTCTCATATTGGGTATTGGTTGGATGAAATGATTGTAAGCCTTGAGAAATGTTTCCTTCATATACCAGTGCTCTACATGTTGATCAGGATCTTGATTCAAGTAATAATAAGCCCAAATAGCATGAGGACAAGCAATACCTCTCAACATCCACAACCTACAGTCACAATGCTTCTTCTCCAAGTCAACAACAAATGAGTATTCCCCATCACTAATCTCAAACCCATTCACCCCATTCCATTGAACATTACAATTTTTTGAATACTCCTTGTTTCTTTCTAGTATTGCCCTTGCCATAGGTGCAATGTCTGATATCCATGTTTCAGCAAATTTGATCATGTCTATGTGTCTGTTCATCATTTTATGCCTAATATCCTCTAGCATGGTAATAATTGATTTATGTCTAGCAGCTAAGATCCAGGAATTGAAAGTCTCACACATGTTATTTTCTACAACATCACACTTGGAATGAGTTAAAAAAAAAGCTCTACACCAATTTATGGAATCATAATGCAGTAAGTCCTCTGTTATTTCCTTCTTACCTAGCTTAGACATTGCATGAACTTCTTCACCAAACTTGACTTTAAAAGAGGCATTTGAGCATCTCCAAAACTGTTTCCTTCTTTCTTCTCCTTTCCAGTTAATATGCTAATTACTCCATATATGTCTAGCACACATTCTTTTCTTAGCATTTGGGTAACAACTCCAACAATACAGGAATAAGTCCCTAACAAAAAGTATATACATAATAAGTAATTGGAGTTGTAAAACTAAACTAAAAAAAGAAGAAATTGTATAAACAATATCTTTTGCATATCTGACATCACACTCAAACCTTCACCAGTTCCAAAGTTTAGATCAACAATTAAATAACTTATGAACCAGCTCCAACTATGTTTTGTTTCTATATCCACAACAACCCAGGCAATGGGATACATTTGATTGTTCCCATTCTTTCCAACAACAACTAATAATTCACCCTTACAAGCTCCCTTGAGAAAACAACCATCAAATCCAATTATATTCCTACACCCCTCCAACCATCCTTGCTTAAATGTATGAAAGAATACATAAAAATACACAAAAAGGTTCTTCCCTGGTTCAGTTTCCTTATCAATTTTTACCCAACAAGAGCTTCCAGGATTGGTTTGTTTGATCATATCTGCATAGTTACACAATCTGGCAAATTCCAGATTCCAATCACCTATGTCTTCCCTCATAATTTTTTGTTTAGCCCTGTAACAAAGAGTCTTACCAACATAAAGACCCAATGTCTTTCTAACCAAATCTTGAATTTCCCAAATCCTTATGTATGGTTGAGATATAATTCTGTCCTTAAACTTTCTAACAATAAACTTTGAATTGCACAACTTATTTCTGTTTTGAATAGGATGGTAGTTCTTTACAATAAAATCACATGAGTACCTGTCAATCGAAGCATATAACAACCACTTAGACTTAACTTTTTTGCACTTCACCCTCACTCTATGTTTTTCACTAGGTCTTAGCTTTAACTGTCTTCTATACTTTATAGCATAATCTGCCACTGCTTTCCTGAACTGATCTTCCCCTTCAAAGACCATTCCAAGCTAAAAAATTGACACTTCACTATCTTTATCATACCGAACCTTTTTGCTTCTCCTTCTTGCAGGTATGTCTACTCCCCTAACAGCATCCACATCTAGTTGTTCATCACTATTATCACTCCAACAGTCAGAGCTATCAATGTAATCTTTATCTCCACCCAATTTTCCAATATATTTGTCAGTTTTGTTCTTTCCAATATCCTCAAAACCTCTATCTATACCACCAACTTCTCTAACTGGTATTTCTTTAAATTCAGTAGCCTTTTTTCTCTGTTTTTTGTTTCTTCTTTCTTCTCTAAATGCTCTCAGCTCCTTATCAATATTTGAACCATCTTCTGAAGGTATATCTAAATCTGAATCACTACTCAAGAAATCAGATGCATCTTCTCCACCTAGGTTATCATCCACTTCCTCTCCACCTAGGCTAACATGCTCACCCTCACCAGTAAGGTTAACAACTTCACCCTCACCACCCTCACCACTAAGGTTACAAGCCTCTCGTTCTTCACCTAAGTTAACAACCTCACCATCTTCACCATTAGTTAGATATCCTATAGTTACCTCAGTGTCAAGTAAGGGTTTAACTAATACATGAAAGACATATACTTCAAAAGTGTCCTCATGTTTTAAGTCTTTAATAAGGTGTAGTAAATGTTGGTCAGTTGTAATTAGGATCCATTTTTATTCAATAAGTCTTTCACATAAAAGCCTCCAACAGTTTCATACCCTAATTCTTTAGTATAATACAATAGTTCCAAAATGGAAAAGTGGTCCTTGATGATATACCTTAGTGCAGACACACAGTTTCCAACATAAGTAGGGACAACCGATAACTCAGATAAGATTCCACCATGGTAAATCTTCGTAAATATGATTTCCTCCATGGTAAATTTTTAGCATCCCCCTACAAAATATCAAGCAAATCCTAGATTTAACGGAATATACTCATACAAACAATTAAAAAACAAAGCTTTAAATCATACTTTTGGGTAATAGTAAAGAATGGACACAATATTCGCACACCCTACATTTTACAAAACCAAAGCTTTATGAAATTCATATAAGAAAGCATGTAAAGAAACAAAAATCAAACTTACAGGAGGATAGATCGTAACACGAAGAAGAGGAATCAAACAACAATCGAACAAGGAACTGGAATGAATTGCGAGATGGAGAGCTTGAAATCAAAAGAAAATGTGAAGTTAGAGAGAGAGAGAAAGAGAATTGTTCTGTGAAAGTTAACGATTTGGGAATTTTTCCAAATTTAGGCATTAACAAATACACGTGGGACTTTTTAAATGGTCATTCAATACACATCAGATACACGTGGGGCGGTTAACTACATGCGCCACATAATTAATGGAAAGTGATTAAAAATGGTTTTACGGTTCAAATCTGGGGTGGTTAAGGTGTTCAATAGGTAGTACGTCTAGTTGAGGTGTCTAAGTAAATAATCGGGACAAGTTTGAGTGGCCGCATATGACTTTGGCCTTTGTTTTATACAATGTATCACATTCATATTTAAGGTGTTGATGTATAACCTTAATGTTGTTGGATATTCAATTAGTTTTATCATGTTCAATATAAGTGTTGTCGATACATAACCACTACATAACGTATCATTTATAAATCAAGCTCTTTAATGTATCATCAGTCTTAGGCGTAAGTCATCGACAGAACCTTAAAGTTGTCTGCATAATTTATTTAGACACCTCAACTAGGACTTGTATCTATTGAACGTTTAAATTATTCAAAACATATACCTATTAAACACAAAACGCTGATATGACAACATCAGTGTACTTCATATAGTATTAGCGCGTGAATCGGTTCCAAAAAGTATTTTATTTTTAAAAAACTCGTACTATTTTTTTCTTTTATTGACATTGGGCACTAAAATAACTAAAATTTATTTAAAATTAATTTCTTGATAAACAAAGAAATCAACCCCACCTCCTTATTCCAGCCATCATCTTCTTCCTCAAACTCCAAATTCTCAGCTCTTCTTTTTCTTTTCTTTTTTATCTCACTTCTTTTAATTATTTATATATATATATATATATATATATGTATGTATGTATATGTATGTGTATATATGTATATGTATGTATATGTATGTATATATATATATGTATGTATATGTATGTATATATATATATATATATATATATATATATATTGATGTGTTTTTACAAAAAAAAAGAGAAGAATTTCGAATCTACGAATTGATGTGATTTTGTAAAAAGAAAGAAAATTTTTGAATCTACGTATTGATATGATTTCGCGATAAGAAAGAAGAATTTCAGACATTTAGTTAAAAAAAAAGTTAACCGACCTCTGTTCATATCTATTTCTGGTCAGTTAACCGACCTCTGTTCATATCTATTTCTGGTCACGCAAACACACATCACCATTTCAAATTAAAATGTAAACTAATCAAGCTTATTGAAAATGGTATCATGAAATTCAATAGAATTAAAATTGATAGTTAACAAGAAAGGAAGAGTTCGTCAACTCCAAAAATACCAGTTACGAAATTCAGAAAAAATGTCAGGTAACTCCATTTTTTGGGATCATGATACTAGAAATTCAAAATTTTCAGACGAAACCTTTTTCATCTTCCTCGTACCAAAACTAGATGGAGAGATTAGAATTACAATTGAAAAATCGTTTTGGGGAGGGATTGTCTTGTTGAAAAGTTGGGGAAGATTTGGATCAACTGGAGGGAAAAAAAATGAGGGGCTGCCGTGGGGTGGATGCATGGATCTTTTAGAAGATTCTTTTTAATTTCTTTTACTTAGCTAAATAGACTAAAATAATTATTTTTTAGAAATTCATTTTTAAAATAAAATTTTGGAACCAAATGCCACATGTCAACATTTAATTCATCAATTTGTCATGTCACAACGAGTGTAGTACACACATATCATATTTTTGGCTGACTGTAAAAAAAAATATCAAATAGGTATCACTTTTAAGGAGTATAGGTGTTTAATAGGTACAAACTTTAGTTGAGGTGTTTAAACGATTTATGTGGATAACATTAAGGGTTCGTAGATGACATAAGCCTCAGTCTTATTCAAATTTGAAAAGATATATAGAGAACAATAAATCAGTTTTGTGTTATGTATCTGCACCCTTTAATATTCGTTCAGTCCATCCAACTTAGAATGCGATGTATATGTTCATATTATCCAATAATAATCTTGATTTATAAATCGTAATGTTCTAAGTAGAACATTGTGTATCAGATCCAACAATAGGTATATGATACACATTCATTATTTGAAAAACAATATTATTTATCATATAATCTGCACATGTACAACTAATTGTATACTTCAAATTAAAATTTGATGAAGACAAAAAAAAGAATACAAAGAAATGTGAAGTAACGAATAACCAAGACATAATTGCTTATAAACATCTTGTTTGAAAAAAAATGATGACACTAGATTATATATGATAGTCAACACATCTACTTTTATATGAATTGAGAGTTGTTAATTCTTTAAATAAACTATATATTATAATAAAGAATACAAATTGCTAATTTTATGAGAAAGAGAATTTAATATTATTTATAAATTAGGCTAATGGTTCTGTATATATATAACACCTTCAATTGATACTAAGATGCCTTTTTTGTTTCAGTGTAAAAAGAAAGTGAATATTTCTTCCTCTTTTGTTTTATTTTTTTGAAAATTTGTTTTTTAAAAAGAAATTTAAAAACTTTAAATGAAGTTTAATTGGTAAAAGTTTAAATTTTAAAGTTACATGTATTTAATACTTAACAACTACCACAAATTAATGTATCGATTTGAAGTAGAATATTTTACGGGCAATTTTTACTTCTCTAATGTATCAAATAGGATTACAATATTTAGCAATGTATTAAATAGTTTAGTAATAGTAATTTATCATGAGTAATATATTCTTCTTCTCCACAATGTATATCGGCTAGTTGAAATTTACCATAATTACATATTTTTTGCAACTCTATTGTATCAGATACATTTCCAACTAGATCATGATACATTATGTAATGTATCTGAACCATATTGAGTGGTACAATCTAAGAGTACTGAGACAGATCCAAACTTTCATAGATACATTGAAGACATTCATCACCATCATTACACAATTTTTATGGAAATTAGAAATAGAAGCAGAAGTCCGGAAACATTCAAAAAGACAACAAAAACAAATTGTTGAATTGAATGCAACTAGGTTTACAATTCTTGGCAGCTTAGGCAAGAGACTTCCATTCTTTGTTTTCTCTTATTAGCTCTGCTGTCATTCTTCTGATATCTGCTTCCTACTCAATTCTCTGTTGCTTCTCAATCTCATCTTGATGAAGAGCGATCTAGACATGATTTTGTCCATAATTTACAATAAAGTGAAGCCTCCTACAAACATAGCAAAGAACGTCACATCTTTCACAATCTTTGTTAAGTTTCGAGTCCTCTCAACCCAGGGTACTACTACAATCTTGCCGCTTCAGATTCATAAATGAAACAGATTGTCCAACAACCTTCATAAATCACCTCGCTCACCCAACCTCAACAAAATCGATATATTCATCTTTTACAACGATTTTTTCGAGTTATTCGAATTTAGAACTTTTTCTGCAGTAATGGTTCCTTAATGCAGAAACTGTTAATGTGAAATTTCAAATTTGTGAATCTATTACGTATTAGATAGATTATTTACAACATTTCAGGTGTGATTTATGGGATTGTAATTAATTAAAATAAATTTTACGTTACTTTTTCCTTTTAAAGCACAACAACACCATATTTGAATGTATCAGAAATTATGTATTCGGCTATTTTAAGAGATTTCTGTAAAATGAAAACTAATGGAGATATGATGTAATTTATAACTCACACTATGTGAATCCTATAATTTATACTTTTTTTCCTGGGTTTCTCTAGTTATTCACATGGGTTTTGAGTCTCTTTTGAAACCAAGATGCTTAGTTGTATTACTTTTTC